TGTGACATGTGTTGTGACCCGCTCTGTGTCGCTGACACTGACGTTATTCCTGCTCTTGTTTCAATTGCCCATTTGGGTCCTGTAGAGAATAAACTGGCAGCTCTGAAAGCACTGAGCCTTCTCGGCGATCGTCCCACAAAGTTTCCCGATGTCGGTTTTCCTGTGCTTGTCGATCTCTTGGCCCACACCGACGACGATGTGAAAGAGGAAGCCTCATCAGCTCTGTGGGCCTTTATCCAGAATCGGGAGGATTCTGCGCGGAAAGCTTGTGATCATGGTTGCATCTCTCATTTAATAGCCCAGCTGCACAACAAGAGGATCCTACGCCAATATCCTCTGTTCTGCTTGGAAAGTGTTCTCGCCCTGGCAACTGCAAGGGCTACTGCCGTTGAGCTGGGACTGTTGCCAGTCCTATTTCAATGTTTGCAGGAAGAAAAACAAACCTTTCACATTGAGGTCATTTTGGAGTTGCTGAAGATGTGCGTCACCCATGTGCCTCTGGCGTTGCAGCAGCAGACGGCAGCCCAAAGAAAAGCCGCCATGCGCAAGATTGTTGCCGCAGCAAACAGTCGTGCTAATCGCACTGAAGCGAGACAGTTGCTTCAACTCCTTGACCAGGCAAGTCCATGGATGAGCAGATTGATTCGACAAGCGGGATACCAGCAGCCCTGAACTTGTACAGGCTGGCCTTGTTTTGAAATCCGGGGTATGGGCATGTGCAGAACACGCACATGCAGGGGAGAAAGTTGCAAATGGAAAAAAAGCCGCGCTCACTGCCTACATGTTGACCCAGTGCCAGAGAAGCCACAATCTTCGAAATCTAGCCAAGACATGCTAGTGTTGCCATGTGATGCCCTCAAGCCTCAGCTCACTTTGATGCAGCCGAGGCTGCGCGGGCGGCTTCTAGTTGCGCTCACAGCGGGCGCAACCCAAGCCGCAAAGATAGGGATCTTCGCAGGTCTGCCGCAGTCTTCCCAGGGCCCGCAGATAGGGCCCTCTAAAGAAGCCCATGGTTTTCCCTTCTAAGAGTACTCTACTCTATTCTGGGGCCCTCATAGGAATCTAGGAATTTTCCCTATCTCAAGTGGGAGTCCTCAATCTGATTTCACAAATTCTCATCATTTGCACAGGATGGTTGCTTGGAATTACACACATATCATGCGCAGATTTCACATCATGGTAACCTTGAACCTCCTTTTATCTAGATCCCAACTTTTTTTGCAGGTTCGTGATTCTGAAGGATACTTTTCAAGGGTGAGGAAGTTTTCCACAGGGTTTGGAAGTTTGGGCAGGACTCGAGACCTTGCTTGTAGGGTTTGGGGCTTGAGGTTTAGGGTTTCCGTCATGAAAGTCCCTTGTCATGACGAATGTTCATATGAGCTATAGTCAAAACTCCTTAAGGGGGGTTATTTAGCGAACTCTATAAGGGAGTACTATAAGGGTTATTAAGCGGATTCTAGGAATTTAGACTGTGGCTCATATAGGGGTCTCGCTTTGGTGACAACTGACTCACGCGGCCTGCGACGTAAGAATTATTGTTTGTAGCTCATGATATTTTTCATGGACCAAATTCTGCATGACCCCTTATTCCTAGCTGCTTGTAATTGAGGTACTGTAGTACAGTTTGGGCCATGCAGGCTTTTAGTCATCAACGTGGTTCCCAGGTGTTTGGCTTTCAAAGCCCGAGGGCTCAAGCTTCCAGATTCCAATCATTACTAACCTGGCCTTTGGTTAGCTAGGAATGCAGGAATGGATCATATATAGGGTTTTATGGGGATCATGGAAAAATGAAAACTACTATAATGGGTTAGATAGGGTTTAGGGTTTAGGGTGTGTAAGCCTACATTAGGGTTTAGGGTTTCCCAAAATTAGACCTTATAGTATAACCAATTATTGTACTTTCCATTTTCTTTAAAACTCCTTCATTCCGAGCTAACCAAAGGTAAGTACGAGCAGGTTCACCTTGATCCAAACTATGATTTTCGTCTTCTCTCAGCTTCGCTCAGCATTTGGAACATAAAAGCGCTAAACCCTTAAACCCTTAAACCCCAAACCCTAAAACTTTTAGAACCTAAACCCTAAACTAAAACCTTAACCCTTAAACCCTAAGTTAGCCCTAAGCCGTGGCTAATGTTGCAAGAGCTGTAATCTAAACTCCACACGGTGGTCATGTAAGGGATTGTATAGGGTTCAGGGTTTAGGGTCTAAATTCCTTAAAGAGGGGTTATATAAAGGATCATATAGGGGAGTACCGCAGGGTCTATTGAGAGGGCATACTGGGAATTCAAACCGTGGCTCACATTGTAGAGGGTTGAGTAATTCTGTGTATGAGTCCCCTTTAATCCTTGTATAATTCTAGATAATGTACCGCGAAGCTTTGCTGTAATCATGTAGGCCCACGGTCTCTTTAACTTGTATATGTATGTATGATTCCACTATCCCCATGAAGCCCAAAACAGTTTAAAGCGCTTCTTTTTTCATCCCTAAGCCCCAAACCTTAAACTCTAAACCCTAAAACCCCTAAACCCTAAATAGTAGTTTCTATTTTCTTTTCCAGTATCCCGATATTACCCCATTATAGCCCCAACATAACCCCTATATGAGAAATCCCCCACCACTCCCCGGTCCAAGGCACTGGCGTTTGCGGTGCCTGTGATCGCTTCGATGGGCCTTCTTCAGATGGAGGCCTGCTTGAAAATTACTTCCTGGCGATTAGCAGGGAATAAGGGAATGTACAATATTGTGATTATATAGGGATTACATATTCCGTATTCCCTAGTAACCCTCAGTAAGACTTGGCATCCTACAAAGAATGTACTGTAGGGAAATTGTTTGGAGGCGGGGAGTTATGGAATGCTTGTGGAAGCCTATAGGATTGAGGGTTTAGGGTTTAGGGCAATCTGGAAGGCTTTTGCAGTAAAGCCATGACTATGAGATTTTTTTCCACTAGTCCTTCGTCTCCCACAGCTCAGCTAGTGGGTCCGTGTCAGTTATGAACCGCAATTCAGTTTTCAGGGTCCTTCGCGGTTTTACTGGCTTCGCTGGAGTTTGATTTCCAGAAAGCTTGACGCGTAGAGTGCGCGTGTTTCGTTGAGGAAGCATGACGGCACTTCTCGAGCATCAGGCTCCGAAGTGAGGGAGGAGGGTTATTAGGGCTATATTAGGGTAAAATTGGGGTTATATGGGGGTTATATTAGGATAATGGAAAATAAAATGGAAACTACTCTTTTATAGGCTTAATATTGGGGTTATAGAGGGGTCATATTAGGATAATGGAAAATAAAATGGAAACTACTATAGGGTTTAGGGGGCGCAGTTAAGCCAGCTTTGGGTCTGGGCTTCTAAGATGTTTCGGTAACGGTGCAGGGTGTTGAAGGTGCTTTAAACATTTTTGATTGAGGGGTTTTGGCCAGGCTCCCTGGCGCTATTCCACCCTCCTGGAGAAACTTCCCAAAGCCTATGAAGACACATAATTTAGGAAGTGCTCTGTACTGGTATTATGTTTCCACAGGGTTTAGGGCTTTGGGTTAAGGTTAAGGGTTAAGGGTTTAGGGAGGCATGGTCCCCTAAAGCCTGAGCCTCAAGGAATTCCACATTAGACGCCCCAAGCCCACATGGGACCTCCGGAATCCTGCTGTCAGTAACCCTCTCCCCCTAATATGAAACCCTAAACCCACCCCCCCGATATCAAGTATTACCCAGATTTTGTAATATACTATCATGGGGAATATTTGCTATGAGGGGAGTGTGCGGGGGGTGGGGGGTTTAAAATTCCGGGGAGGGGATGGAAAGCATCCCCAGCACGAGAGCCTTCCAGGTTGATGAACTTCTGGGGGGCGTGGAGGTGGGCAGCTGCTTGAAGGACTGTTGATACTAAAAATACTGCTTGACCTTAGTACACTATAGTCCCATAATTTCCACGGTATAAGGTACTTAGGGTTGTGCAGGATTTTTAGTATCCACCGGATCTCTGCTTGTCCAATATGTGACGAAACTCATGTGTAGCTGAGCTTCACCACGATTGCTGATTTGCTGTGATCTAGCATTACTCTATGATCGCATTACTCTACAGGGCTTTACTACATTTTCGTATTCTCACAGTAACGCATTTGTACATCAGACATACATTGCCAGCTGTTGTGGTTTCGAGTTGGGCAAACTAAAGGAGTTTCCTTTTCATTTTTCATTTTCTTTTCCATTTGATTCTCCATTACAGGGGGATAATATACCCTATTAGTACTTATTCAATGGAACAGTCAAGGATTCCCGGCTCGCCTCTTCTTTCTGGTTCTCTTTGGTGCTAAGACTGGGAGAATGTGCAAGAACATGAAAACTACTCTAGTAGTTGCCACGGGGTTCAGGACTGAGGGCTTAAGGGTGGTTCGTAGAGAATGGGGGAACAGGTTATAGGGGCTATGACAACTTTTTGCATCTCACTTGTCCATATCTCTTCTCAGATCGCAAGCTGCACGAACTGCCTCAGATCATGGAGCCCATAAATGTTTGCTGGGAGATGGGGGTCTACTGAAGGGGGTCTCATGATTTTGGTCTGAGCGTAGGCTGCTGTAGCCCGTCAAGCTAGGGTTTACATAGGGTTTCGGGCTTAATTAGAGCTCACTCTGTTGGGTTGGGGTCTCAGGGTTTTGACCTCTTGGCAGGTGCGGATTATTGCAGCGGCGGCATGGTTTCTTATTGCCGCAGGCTGGGACGGGCCTTTCTAGAGACGTCGGATTTCATACTTGTGTGGATTATTGGTGCTGTGTTTTGGTGCTTTGGCTTGAGGACCCCTGCCGCAGCCTCGGCTGTATACTTGACAAATACACGACTTAGGGTTGAGGGTTTACGGTTAAAAGTTTCGGGCTTCAAGATACATGCAAAACCAGGTAACCTGCCATCCCCCCCCCAAAACCCAAACCCTAAACCTTTCCCCTCAAGCCCTCTGACCCCTAAACTTCCAAGCCCCAAGGTCCCACCTGGTGAGCCTTTCAGGTGTCACGGAGTTGAGCGTCTCCTGCGCGCACGCCTTAGAGGCATTTCCCTGCCTCCAGTAGGCTTACAGCTTAGGGCTCTTATGACAGATTCTGATTGATGTTGACGGCTATGATGTTGAAATAGGGAGACGGATGCGGTTTGTGTCAGAACCATGTCAGGGAAGGGTAAGCATGTTCTGCTTGCATATCTGGCATTGCTGAACAGCTTGTATCGATGTTGTCATGTGCTTTCTTGCATGTGGTAAGTGCCTTCAGCATAACGATGAGTGTTACTACGATTGACAGGAGCTGTATCATGATCTATTGTTGTTATGGCAACGGTCTGGCGGTTCTTCTTGACTTCTGGTAGATATAGAAGCATGAGTAATCGCCATAATCTTCAAATAGTTGTATAACTAAATACCATAAAACCTCAGTCTAATGATGTAGGCCCCAACCTTCCCAACCCAAACGGTAAACTCTATACCTTCAACCCCAGACCCTTAAACTTACATCCTAAACCCTAAGAATTCTTGTGCATGCACTAGCTATTGTCAGTCTTAGCCTTACTAAGGGACCCTTGACAGTGGACTTAGGGGTCCTGTTTGTAGCGTAGTTTAATCCCCAATATAGTCCCTTGTGCAAGGAAAACAACTCCATTAAATGAGGCAGGAAATATCAGCCCCTCGAATCCACCGTATAAACCCAGTTTCCATTTCATTTTCCATTTTCCCCAAACGGGAAACATTTGTGGTCCTCTCCTCGAAAGAGAATGAAAACGCAGTGGCTGGAAGGGCTGCACGCGGCGCAGACCTGTGGGCCCGCAGTGGGCCCGCGCAACTGGACGGGTGGCGCGTGGCGCGGAATGTGGGCCCGAGGTGCGCGCGCGCGGTGTGCCGGCGGAAGAATAGAAGAAGGCGGCAGCTGGATGGGTGGCACGTGGCAAGGACCTGCGGGCCCACAGTGGGCCCGCGCGTATGAGTTCTGTTTCGAATCGTAACTGGATAGGTGGCACGCGGCGCAGACCTGTGGGCCTGTGGGCCGCGGTGGGCAAGACTCAAAACACTTTGGGCTGTAGGCATGTTCTGCAATGCTGGCATTCTTTGCCCGATGCCCTCAAACTAAAATCCAAGGATGTAAGAATCATACCATCGTTCCATGATGTTCAAGCCTGCAGAATCAAACCCCAGAAAGGGAAAAATCCGGCCAGCAATGTATTTAAATGGGTGTGTGGATGTTTTCTGTATTTCTGGAACTGTTGCTACTTTGATTTCTGCGCATTCTAAGCGGATAAGGGCTGAACGCCAACTATTACTTTCATTCGCACGTTTTCCATGCTGTTTGGGGTCTTCGAAGGCACTAATCTTGTCAATTTGATTCTCCATTATTGTAGGCAATACTGACTGTAGCTCACATGATTCCTGCCATGCCAGGAGCGCCGCGAGAGCCTTCGGGTCATGGTGCCGCAGTGGCTGCTCGTCCGCCCGGGGCACAGCTGCCCCATGTGGGAGTTTCTCAGAGTAGGGGTTTCCCTGAGGACCCTAAGGATATATAGGCATTACAGCACAGGGATATATACAGGGATCACATGAGCGGGAGGTATGGGGATTATAAAGGTATTGCAGGAGTGTATGCTGGGGATTCTATAGGTATCATTCTAAAGAAACTCCTGTATCAGTCCCGGATATGGATTTGGCATTGTCGGTGTGTCAGGTTTACGGACTTTGGTTTGGGGATTAAGGTATAGGGCTGTCTTGGGGATTAAGGTTCAGGGATCTGAGCCTCCGTCTCCAGAGATGATAGCAATGCTTTGGTGTTTGTTAGGCATTTCTCCTTTGTTTGGTCTCTTGGCCACTATTTTGACGGGAAGGGGCCAGATCTTACACTCGGGTTTTGCAGAGGTAGAGTGTCAGGTCATGATCGCGTATGAGGATCATCATGCTGAGGCTGTCAGAATGTTCAGGCAACTTGTATCTCGTTTACTCGAGCAAGACTCTCTGCTTTACTCATGCTTGTTATGAGTCTCCGAAAGCAGTTACGGTCATGATTCCGAACAAGTGTTCTGGGAGAAGTTCGAGCTTCAACAAGGAATGCAAAGGGGTTTTGCTCACCTTCGACTCGAGGCCTAAACTCTAAACCCTAAGAACTGCCTGTGGCACTGTTGTTGATTTGACAGCATGTTTCGTGGATACTGTTGGGGCAAGATTCCATACCATACATCAAAACCCCAATTAGGTTTTAGTGTTTTAGGGAAGACCCAAGATCTGTGGTTGGTCGGTATGCTTCGCAGTAGAACTCCAAATCGTAGGTTGAAGCGTATGAATCACCCCAAATGAGGGTCTTCCCAAAACTAGCGGTAGCCTTTTCAAGTCCCCATAAAAAGGACTATAGTAATTTGGGGTGTGCCGTGGGGTGCCCTTGCTTTGGGAAATTACCATTACTTTATAAACCCCTACATAAACACAGTTTCCATTTCATTTTCCATTTCTTTTCCATTTGATTCTCAATTATTGGGGAAATATATATATGTATATACAAATATACACATCCCTAAACCGCCCTAAACCCTAAACTCTAAACCCTGCATCGCAAAATCCTGCGTTTTGCATGATGTCTTGGAATCAGGACTGCTTGCTCAGCAGAAGCCGGAAACAGAGGCTTGGGAGATACATGAGCATAGCTTAGGTGGACCCCCCATCCTGTAATAGGGTTTTGGGTTCAAGGTTTAGTAATAGTGGCTATAAGGGATAATTCGGGTTATATTAGGGCCCTCTTATATTCCTAGTATACCTCCATTACAGGGTGGGGGTCCTCCTAAAGCATAGTCCCTGACATAGCTACAAAAATAGAATTACTTCTGGCGCGCTTAGCAGGGAAGAACAGAATAGAATCCTTATATAATCCCTGTATGATACATTCCCTTATTCCCTACTAACCCCCAGTAAGATTATCATGACAGGAGACCGTGCAGTGCACGCAAGTTGGGAGCTCAGCTATCAGGTGCACAGCTTTTATTGTGGGAAAGTGTGGCAGCAGTTAGTTACACAAAGGATGGCAGCCACAAGGACAGCTTCATCCCAATAATTTGAGACTCTGTGGTCTCCAAAAGCACGTGGTAAACTTGACCCTGCCAAGGCTCTGCTGTACGCGGTCGAGGACCCCAGTTCAGGGCGCAAGCAATTATTTGCTTGCTTGGCCAGACCGACATGGCTGAGTGTCCTGCTCGATATGTAAAGGGGCTCAACATATCAAAGGTACCGCCATGCCTCCTGTTGGAAGCGACCAGGTTCACCCTAAACCCTCAACCCTTAAACCCTAAAACCCCTAAACCCTTAAAACCCTAAGCCCCCAAACCCTTAAACCCTAAACCCTTAAAGCTTAAGCCCCTGAACCCCTAAACCCCTAAAGCCCTAAACCTCTAAACCCCTCAGCCCCTAAACCCCCAACCCCTAAACCCTTTCGTAAACCCCTAAACTCCAAACCGCATCTGATATCTCTTCTACAAACCCTAGTATAACCCCATATAACTCCTATATAATCCCCTATAAAACCGCGACATACTCCCCTATATAAACCCTAAAC